AATGTTTGCAATTTACTTGACTTTCGTTGTATGCCAAAACAGAAATGCCATTGTTGTCCTTACAATAATTCGTCCCTGTGGAACGTTTCACGGCATTATTGTATTAACGACCGAAAGGGCATTGCTCTCTTTCAAAATCGTTTTCTCAGCCCTGCGCTCCTTCCTCGTGTTTTGCATCCTTTGTGTCGTCAATACTAGCCAATGAGAGACTTCTTGTTTGCAGATGAACTTTGTGGAATTGTTATAATTCACAAAAAATCAATTACTACATTTATTACTCAATGAATTTAACCAGAAGTAAAAAAAAAAGGATAAAAATTAATTAAGCGCCACATATTTTACATAATTGTACTTGGATAACATAAATTTACATTATCATAAAAAAAAAAATATCAAGAAATATTTCCGTATTGTATAATAATAATAATACGTTTATTATTATTTATTATCATTATACTTTTCTTTTTTTTTAATTCCAAACGCTTGTTGTTACTGGTTAGAGTTAATATTAAATTCTAATTGAAATTTCGTACAATTTAATCTACAAAATATAATTTATTTTATAATTAAATATAGATACCGGTTAATAAACCCACTTTAAAAACATCAGTCTTTATCAATTATCCATGTCGGTTGGTTAATTATTTTATTTTATGGTTTTTGGTGTGGTTCTTGCTTAGACATCAATTCTAGTTAAATATGTAACTAAAATTATTTTTAATTAAATACATTTTAGGCGATCGGTACCAAGACTTGGTGTTTTCATCAGCTATATTCACATTATTTATGTACAATATGTATTGGTTATAGTTAACAATTTTTTAGTCACTTATTTAGTTCAAGTTTCAGAGTAGTTTCATTAGACCTAACCTAACTTAGGGGTCCTGAATTTAAAACTTAAGTGTTATCCGCTATCGAAGGTTTGTTTTATGTATTATTATTTTGTTTAAAGGAGCTTTCTGTATATGGTTTGTTTGTATGTACAGCGACCTAATATAACGAAAAATTCACAAGAAGGATTGCAGTCATCTGTTCCTACCGTTAAGTAAAGTTAATACGCCCATCACATGTTCTAGTTTTGTAAAATTATCCTTTTAGTTTTTTAGTTTATTACAACTTTGTTTTTTTTTTTTTTGTTGCTTTTTAGTGATTAATTTTTCTACGGGTGGTCAAACAAACAGTAAGGCTGGCGCGTAATCGCGCTGCGAGTATAATAATATTATTAATTCAAAACATCCAATTTATGACCGGCCATTAAAAATCTCCACTCTTATCTCCGTGTCCCATCGAAGCGGTTTTCAAAATCCTCCATACTACGTTAGTTAGGTACGCGGGTAAAGTGGGTGTGTTGTTGTTTTATTTAATGTTGTTTTTTTTCTTCTTTCAAACGACGACGTGCCCTCGCCAATCTGTGCCGGACATCTCGACCGACCATTATTTTCGTTAACCCTTTTTGTGCTGTAAGCAAACTGCTCTTTTCATTATCTTTTGCGTACGGCCAACGACGGTCTCCGCCTGGCATTCCAACAGCAATAATTCAGGTTTAATACGTGTCGCTTTGTAAAACAAAAGTGCTCGCCTTTACAAGAAGTACGCACACGTGTACATATAAGTATTGCATATTATGTAGAGAGAGAATAGAAGGTGTACTACAGTGAAGCATAGTACGCGACTGACGATCTTGCAGCAACCGTGTAATTTCTTTGCGGACCTCTTCACCGATAGGATATAATATATTATCGAAACGTGGGTGTGTACGTCATAGACCCAACGGACTACTTCGGTATCGATAGTAATAATTATTGTAAACAAGAAGGTAGACCACCCTATACACGAGTATAGTCAATGGATGACTAATACAATATTATAACGTTGTGTACTCAAAATATCATACACAGTGAAACCACCGCAGCCACACGCTCTCTGTTGTTCTTGCCGGTGTGTGTAGAGATTTCATTGATTCATTTTCATAACGGAGATATTGCATTGTGTTAATTATTATTTGTTTTTGTCGCGTCGATGATATTGTGTTACTATTATCATCGTTTTTATTATTTAGACTATACTATGCTTGCCTCTTGTAGACAGTGACAACGGCGCTGCTATTGAGCCGTTACCGCGGTGTTCTTTTCACTGCAAAATGTATTAACAAACCTTATGATCCGCAGAAACGCCGTGTGTACCTGTATGCTATAATTATTTTATTATCTCTCTGTTTGAAATACACACGCGCGCGTAGTGGCATGTACAGAGTTTTCAAAATTGCATGATATGTTATTTTTTTTTATATTCAATTTTTAATAAACACTAACCATGTGATATCGATGGCATAATACACGGGTAGGTTATATAGGACGGGCGAGTAACTTTTTTCGATTTCTTTTCAGACTAGGCGTTATTGGTTAAAACTTTCTTCGACCGATTTTAATGTTTTCGAAAATTGTATGATCTTGTCCCATACAACTCAATATTTATTTTTTTATATTTATTTTAATGAGATTTCGTTAATATAACATTATACCTAATAATTATTTCTTATACCACTAAAAAAAACTCGATGAGCAAATTATTTATTTTTTTTTCTTTGTATAATATAATTTACAATTATGTGAGTCGACATTTCTTTATTGTACAATGTTTTCTTTTCAAAATTAACGAATCGTACAACTTTTAATGGTTATTGTATGTATATCATGTATACATAAATAGAAGAATGTAATAGTATGTGCATAAAAGTATCTTGTTAAACGTTGCCGTTGGCGGTGGTGCTCGTGTCTTGCGATCAAAACTGGTTTTGTCGGGTGTCGTAAATTCGCCCAAAAGGTCAAAATAAGTATAAAAACCAAAAATTAAAAACTTAACGGGATCTTTGCATAATGATCAGTGGAGAATCGAATCTATTTTTAGCCGCCGGAGCGTCATTTAAATATAATATGCACACAAATGAGGGTATACCGAGAACAGTGTTTTTAGTATTATAATCGTTTAGAATTACAATTATAATATGGTCTCGGATTTACGATTAAGTTTGTCTATTCGATTAGAATCTTATAATATTCAAATAAATCTTGCAAGAAAAATCTTTTATGGTGCATTACTTATTTTTATCGCATTGATTAAAATATATTATATGTTCAATTGATGAGCGCACTTGTCCTCACGTTTAAAGGTCTAGAATTGATGGCTTTTCTACCTATACTCAATGGAGGGAATACGTTTTTATCAATGTGTTTATTGCGCGCCGTTAAGTAATATTATGTGTACATAAAGATGAATAGTTATAATACGATAATAAGCTCTAGATAAAATCTGCATTTTTATGTACGGTCAAATCTGTAAAACGTTCAACTGTTTGGCTTGGCATAATAACTGTTAAAAATTCTACTAAATAATAATTTATTGTCCGATTAACTAATTTAATTTTTCTTGTTCATAAATTGTAAGTGCGTACTTTGAAAGTAAAATAATTGTATGGATTCTTAGTACCTATCAAGTATCGAGTTGTATAAACACAACAGTTAACTAAACCCTTACGTGAAATATTTATGCTGATAATTTATCGACTTCTCGCGCTATAACTTATATAACTGGTATTTTACATAAATTAAAATTTCAAACCGCATACTTAATATGTAGACCAAAAATTCTTCGGGGTAGGTATTTTGATTATACGAAACATAATTATTTTTATTATAGGTAATAGTAACGAACATAGAAATCGATAAACATATTACTTTTAATTTACACAACTACTTGGAAAATATTACCATTATTTGTTTTAGTAGTAAGTGTTAACGTGTAGATATGTAAATTCCAGGTAAATTAAAATTATGGCCACCCGACGATAAAATATGTTTTGGTACTAGGAAATATTGCGAGTTACTTCGTTTACATTTCATAGCTTTGAAAAAAATATAAATTAAATTGGTGGTTGAATTAAGAAATAATTTAAAAGAGGCATTCGTCAAGAATGTCATTGTGGTGACCTTTTGCATAGAGAGTATGTAGTAGATATGATAATAATTGTAAACAGCTAATTGAAAAACTTAAAATCTTAGGAAAAAATATGTGATGAGTAGAATAAAGTGATAAGAATAGAAGGTATGTTGTGTGAACTAAACAATCATTATAGGTTAAAGGAAATTTTTATTTCAATAAGAATATTTAGATGGTTGAGTAGTAGAGGTAGATATAATTGGGGATAATAGTATAGGGAGAAAAACATAAAAAAGGGTAAAAAGAAATATAGAAGTGGTGGTCAGATCGATTTTTTTAATACGTGTTTTTTAATAACAAGGGTATTTTATACGACTGAATTATTTCTATGCCTATAATAAATATTAAAAGTATGCATAGTTCATGAAGATGATACTTACTACTAATCTATATGCAAAAATGGTTAAAGAATAATTATGTAAAATTTATAGATATTACAACGTTTAGTAATATAGGTTATTAGTAGAAAGTATTAGGGGTTGAGATCGGAGAATGATATAAATAAAACCACATGAAATAAATAATAATATTAGTGAATGTTTGGACGGGCAAATATATTTTACAGAACATATAATATAATTATATGTAATAATAAAACAAAGTCGTTTATTGTTGACTGTAATATATCGAGAACAACTATCGGTTGGTAATTGTATGCATAAAGCATATTACACTAATAGTCGCAGGGTATTGAATTTCTGTTAAAAATAACAAGTTTCTCGTTATCTATTTCACGTCGCTCACCTTGTCTGCGGATTACTGTTTATTTTTAAATTTGAATGACTGAACATAGAAAATATCAGCTATGGGAACGTAAAAGTTAATTTAGAAGAATAAAAAAAAAAATTAAGTATAGAGTATGGATGGACGCTAGTACCTTATCGTCTGTTTTTATCACTAAACTCTTATCAGCTGTCTCTTATCAATGATCTAATACGAACGTACGAACACAGCAGAGTAACCAAAGTGTGGAAATTTATAAACTTGGACTTCTGATAGAACCAACCGTATACCACTTTTACAAGACTTAACACAAAAAAATATAGGTTTCTCAAATATTAGTACAACTATAATATCAAAACAACTCAAGTTTAAGTATTTTTTATTTGTACATCGCCGGTGACGCAAAACCAAGATTATTATTTTCTACCGTGAAACACTACAATTCTTTATTGCTTTAATAATATAACAGTTGTCTTGTGAGATAGTCTATTATATGTGTGTTCAAAAATGAAAATGTTCTACGTGTCACTGTGTTCCATTTTTTTTGCAATCGTCCATGTTCAGAGTTGGAAGTATGGTGAAATAAGATCGGCCAATGATATTAATCGTGAATTTATTCGAAAAATTGTCAACGTGGAAGAAGTGGAAAATTGGGCTCCCATAATTAAACAAACTATTATTTATAACGACATTTATAAACCAGCTCTGTCTTTGATCTCGAAGGAAGACCAATTGACCAAAACTATAAATGTACTCGATTTACTTCAGACCTATGTAAAAGGTGAGGAAACGAAAGAAACAGTAGATATAAATGTGATTCGTGACCTAATTACGGTCTGCTATGAATGTACGTGTTTAAAGAGTTTAAGTCTGTTTGCGTTATTAGCTAGTAAAGATTTAAAAAAATACCATGAAACAATAAACAATGATGAAGATAAAGCAATTGGCGTTAACCAAGATGAAAACATTGACGGTACACGTTGTCCAGAAGTACTGCCTCACAGTTTACCATATAACATTTTGCAAATGGAAAAACCATTCATCGCAATGATACGCAAACTGGCTGCACTTAACATTAAGTATGATCTTCCACTAGAAGTTTTCAGAGTGATCTATGGTCAACGCGCTGACGGCGTTACAGACGATAACTACCTAAACGGTATCTTATTTGTTCTAAAAGAAACGATTAAAATTGCAGATGGCTTATTAACAAAAAAATGCGTTGATCACCAAGGCAGTTTAGTGAAGAAATACGATGTGTTTCTTGACGATAGAGAAGGGAACGAATTTAAGCAATTTATAACTGCGTTAGACCAAGATTCGAATATGGAATATGTTCCACGTTTTTTTGAACATTTTGTCGTAGTTGCGATAAAAGCTATTAAAGAAACAAATAGTATTGCACTATCTGATAAACTTGAAGTGCCCACGGATCTCGCACTACTTGAAAAAAGTTCCAGTATGAAAATTACATTTGATCAAGATGATCTAGAGTTGGTTTTGGATAATTCTTTTGGTGAATCATCGCTAGAACAAGAATACTTAGAAAGCAGGTAATGTAATGGTTTATATTGAATCATAATGTTGCCAATTGTAATTGTACAAAAACGAAATGTTTAAATGCATTGTTATTTGTTAAGTGTGTATGATGTGACAAAAGTTAATGTATTTTTAACAATGTGAGAAGAAGGTGTTGTGATTTATAACCTATAAAGATCTCTAGCAAAAACAGTTCTTGGATATTAGGTATTTGAAAATTTTTTAAAAAATTAGTGCGCGCTTTTCTTATTTGAAGTAAACAAATATGTTCATGTTTTCTGTGTTAAGTTTTCTGTTTCTCAATTTTGAATGAGTAGAGGTTAACTTTTAATATTTTTGTCCTAATGAAGTATTCTACAGGTAAGATTCTTGATTTATAAAATTGCTACATGATGAAACCGATTCAGCAGTTTAGTAGACATCGTGGATCTAGACATTAAAAAATCATTGTAATAATAATTACTATTTGGCTAGGTACCCGTAGAAGATAAAAAAGCGTAAGAATCGGAAATAATCAGGATAATTGGAAACTATTAAACAATATTAAATTTATTACTGGATACAGGGTTTCAAAAATTGCTTACGCTTCTTAAATATCCTAATACTAAAACACAAAAATTCTACTTTTATTTTGTAGAATGCTTGAAGATGGTTTGAACGATGAGTTTGGCATTCCAAGCACTGACGAAGACAATTCTGTTGACGGTGATGATGATGACTTAGACGCCTATGTGCTTCGGAATATGTTAGACTCATCAAACTACGAAGAATGGGCTTCTGACTATAATGAAAACGACAATAATGTATTTGGAAATGAAGGATGGACAAAATATGTTGATCATGATGAAACCGTGAATACATTTGTTAATGAAAATGATCAAGTAGAGAATTTTCCTGGGAACAAAACCGTTGATACATTTAACGACGTCGTGGTTTTGAAAAGCGAATTCAATGATGATGGTCAGAATAAAATCGAGAAAAATACATTTTTAAATACATATTCTCAACTTGAGGATTTTCTAGGGAACATTAAATTCAGTGAAAATTCTCAACTTGAAGATTTTTCTGGGAATAACTCTGTTTACAGACCATTAAACAACGTCGAGATGTTGAAAAGTGACGACAAAGATGATGAAACCGGTATTACATTTTTAAATCAAAATTCTCAACTTAATGATTTTCTAAGAAACGAAATCAACGATAGATCTAATGACGTTGAGGTTTTGAAAAATGGCGACAGCAGTCATACTGCTCACAATGTAACATAATAATTAAGCTGAAAAAAATAAAAAATCGGAAGAAAATAAATAAGACAAAAAATATTATTTTTACTATCAATACATTATACATTATTTTTATTATTAATACATATATCACGATTTACTATTTATTTATGAACACCCCAAACAGTTAATTCAATCAGCTTACATTTAAGATGACAAATCATCAAAACATTCTATGTATTATTACAGCGATAACTTAAAAGTAAATTAATAAATTATTTACATGAATTCTTAATTGTTGTTTAAAGAATAAAGAAAAAATTCACCGTCTATAATTGTTTTAATAGATGCGAGGAGATGATATACAAAGGACTATTTTCAGTATAATTATTTTTATTTTGTGTGACTATAAAGCTGTGATTGATCTCGTAATTATGTTTGGTATTTTTTATTTTACTAACTTAAGAAGTAATTCGGTACAGTCTAAATTACTATCAACTGATTTCTGGATAAATGTCACATTGTTATAAAACCGACTTGATTTAAGGGATTAAATACTTAATTGTCTTTCAACATCTTCAGTCTACTGGTTTTTCATATTTAATTTATATTCTAAAGAACGTAAAATCTCTTTGCATTATATACATAGTTGGTTCACCAATCTTATTTGATTAGCGTTCCAAATAATGAATCCAAAGTCCAGTACTGGATGAACCCAGGCACAATATATCAATTTTAAACAGATTATTATTTTAAACACTGATTTGAAGTAAAAACCACGCCTAGATGATGGACTAGGAAAATACATTAAAGTTATTATTTACCTTATGTTTAATTAAAAACTATAGATTATTTTTCGTTCAAATGGTATACATGACTATTAATTCCCCATAATTTTACAAAACTCATAAAATCTACTTGTAATAATTTAGTATCATTTAAATCTAGCACTTTTATAAATCATTTTAAATTATCTACAAACAAAAGAAATTTAGAGGATTCAAATACATAGTAGAAACACTAGGAATAACATAGGACATAAGTATCAACCTTGTAGTACTTCTGAAATTACTTTGAATTCTTCAGTTGTAGAATTATCATCTTGACCAGTTAAGAACGTCCTGAAATGTATGACGATAACCAAGGTACATGCGGTTATTAATCCCAACTTTGCTTAGTTTGAGAATACTATTTATCTACTTTATCAAATGTTTTTTTCAGACTGTATAAATTACATACCTACATTTAGAAATACAAACTGTGTAGATTTTTAAATTAAACTCTTGATATTAGAAAGAATAGACCTTTATAGTTTATACATTTGGACTCTTTAGGGTATCACCCGCATATCAACTATGGAAGACTTAATGACTTAACAAAAAAAATATTATATATTTTTCTAAATTAATACTATTATATCATTAATTTAACCAAGTATACCTAAAGTTTCAAAAATCAAATCTTAAATCTAGTTTGTGCAGTACACAAAAAAAACACGTAAAATATCGAAAACATGATATTAGTGATTTGAAATTCGTGTGTATTCAAATATTAGTACAACTATAATGCCTAAACAAAGTTGTAAATATGTTTTATTTGTACATCGCCGGTGACGCAAAACCAAGATTATTATTTTCTACCGTGAAACACTACAATTCTTTATTGCTTTAATAATATAACAGTTGTCTTGTGAGATAGTCTATTATATGTGTGTTCAAAAATGAAAATGTTCTACGTGTCACTGTGTTCCATTTTTTTTGCAATCGTCCATGTTCAGAGTTGGAAGTATGGTGAAATAAGATCCGCCAATGATATTAATCGTGAATTTATTCGAAAAATTGTCAACGTGGAAGAAGTGGAAAATTGGGCTCCCATAATTAAACAAACTATTATTTATAACGACATTTATAAACCAGCTCTGTCTTTGATCTCGAAGGAAGACCAATTGACCAAAACTATAAATGTACTCGATTTACTTCAGACCTATGTAAAAGGTGAGGAAACGAAAGAAACAGTAGATATAAATGTGATTCGTGACCTAATTACGGTCTGCTATGAATGTACGTGTTTAAAGAGTTTAAGTCTGTTTGCGTTATTAGTGAGTGAAGATTTAAAAAAATTAAAAAAATACCACGAAACAATAAAAAAAGATGAAACAATCAACGATAAAAAAGTTGACGAAAAACAAGATGTGTTAAAAGATGAAACAAACCACGAAAAAAAAGTTGACGAAAAACAAGATGTTTTAAAAGATGAAAGCACTACTCATACCTGCATGGATAAACATTCTCAGGGAGCTGGATGGACTAGTCCTTATGACCCGTACAATTGTAATACAGATGAGAAACTCTTAAAAAATTACAGATCTCCGTTGTATAAATACCAGCTTCGCAGTGTAATGGATCGTTTTGAAATACGAGGTAATGATAATGAGAAATGTTCTCCAGGAGTACCGCCTCAAGTTATTTTTTCTCATAACATTTTGCAAATGGAGAATACGTTCATCGCAATGATACGCAAACTGGCTGCACTTGACATGAAATATAATCTTCCACTAGAAATTTTCAGAGTGATCTATGGTCAACGCGCTGACGACGTAACAGACGATAACTACATAAATGGTGTCTTAAGTGTTCTAGAGGAAACGATTAAAATTGCAGATGACTTATTAACAAAAAAATGCGTTGACCACCAAGGCAGTTTAGTAAAGAAGTACGACGTGTTTCTTGACGATGGAGAAGGAAAGGAAATTAAGCAATTTATAACTGCGTTAGACCAAGATTCGAATATGGAATATAATTCACGACTTTTTGAAAATTTTGTCGTATTTGCGGAAAAAGCTATTAAAGAAACAAATAGTGTTGCACTATCTGATAAACTTGAAGTGCCCACGGATCTCGCACTGCTTGACAAATGTTCCAGTATGAAAGTTACAATTGACCAAGGTGATCTTGAGTTGGTTTTGAATAATCCTTTTTTCGAACTATCGTCACAAAACAAATACCTCGAAGGCAGGTAATGTAATGATTATGTTTATATTGAGTCACAATGTTGCTAATATTAATTGTAATAAAACCAAACGTTTAAACGATTTACTAAAGTGTGAGTTTTAGGTGTATAAGATTAGGCACAGTTAATAGATTTGTAAGAAAGAGAGAAGACGGCAAATTATTTTTTTAACTAAGTTAATGTGACAAATAAATTTAATAAATAGACAATTTTTGTTAACAAGAAATAAATAAAAATAATGTAATGATAGTAATTTTTTCAACGGATAGTTTTCAACATATACTCATGGTATACTGGCTTTTTAATAGTATTACAAGAATATTTATGTGGGATATAGAAATATGGTAGTGGGAAAGGAGGTTCAAAAGGTAATTTTTGTGATAGAACATATGGAATGGAATAGGTTATAAGAAGACTGAAATGGAATTGAATTTATCTTAGGATCTGTTAAAAAGTTAGTAGACACAAGATTCAAGTTAAAAAACTATTATATAAAAACCTATTTGGATTAACGCTAGGAATGTTAACATTACATCTAATATTTCGTTTATGAAAATTCATTGAGAAGAATAATAATTATTGTAAGTATGTTCTTTCGTAGGTTCTATGATAAGAATGTATATAAAAATGATGAATAACACTACGAAATACATGATTACTAGTATGCTGAAGTGGATGTGTCGAGTAGTTTGGTTGGATACAATTTAGAACAAGTACATAAAAGTGGTACTTGGGAATTAATCAATTGCATGAAAAATGATAGGAAATAAATTTACATGGTTTGGACATGTAGAAAGAAGGAAACTTATGAAATAGTAAATCAACCAAAAGGAGTGAGTTCAAATTTTAAAGGTTAATGTAGATCGAAGAAGTGAATACATGTTATAAGTTATAATGAAGCAAAAAGCAAGGAGGTGTGAAGGTGTGAATAAGTACCATAAAAAAACATTGTAGTTACTAAGATATTGGAATATTTTCAAAATTGTTGACGCTATTTAATTAATACCAACGAAGAATATAGCTACATTTTTTTTGTTATGATATATTTTTATAAAACATAATGACAATTTATGTTTTTAGATCTCCATTATATAATTACAAATTATTAGATAGTACGTTTGAAGACAATAATTGGAAGTCAAAAAATTCTACTTCAGATTATTCTGATTATGAGTTCAGAATCCAAAGTGTTGGAGACGATGTAGAATTCGACAAGCGGTTTGCTAATGATTTCAGTGACGGTATTGAAGATGAAGAGAACGATAGTAAAGATGAAGAGGACGAGACGAAGAAGAATATAATGACTTTCTCAAAAAATTTAAAAAATATCAACATGAGGGTAAAACATTCGACAGTTTAGCCAAATTTGATGTACCTATAAGTAATGATGAAACCAATAAAATGGAAACCGAGAAAAAGAGAATTTCTGGTAAAGAGGTATTGAAAAGTGATGATAGCCCGTAATAAAGCCGAAAGAAAATTATTAAATAACAATTGATAATAAAATGATTAATTTTGGTTTTATTCAATTTAAAAAGTTTTATACAATATGTATATTTATTTTCATAGAAAACTGATGAATATAATTGTATGGTTTCGATTTAGATACATATCATTTAAAAGTAAGCAGTTTCATTTGTGCTCCAATAGTTTTTACACTTTTTTGAGTTAAAATCATATTTAATATCTTTGATAATATAATCTTTTCCGCTGAATAATATGTGTTACAAATTATATATATATATATAAATATTATAGGGTATATCTATGTACTCTTATGTATCAGAATATATTTGGTAATAAAAAAAAAATGTTTTTATTTTTATTTTTATTTGGTAATGTCAAGTTCTTCAGTTATCAATGTTCACTTGTCCGTTGTGTGATTGAGAGCGATAAACACCAAAGTGTGGATATTAATGGATGGTAAATTACTTAGATAAAATACAGCCGAGTTAGTAAAACAAAAACGTTTTCATAGATCAATGATTTATAAAATTCATACCTTATCGTACTGACTCTCGGGGTATACATACATTAATTGGTAGTGTTAAAAGATAAATATATAGTACAAATTGCATTGAATTAAGTTTTATTTAAAATAAAATATATTCGGACAAACGGTGCAATATGAAGGTACAACTTGTAATTAAAGGTACTTAGTATTAAGTATATTTATATTGTAATGATATGTAAGTCATTGTACTCAATGAGTAGGTGGGATAAAAGATAAAATTTAACGGGGTGAAAATTAAAAATTGTGTTTTCTGATCTACAGGTCGTTGGAATATTGGAAAATTAACTTGTTTGTAAAAGTTATAGCCCGTCTCTATTATTGAAAACGGCTGGAGTGACTAAAAACATATCACGGGTTTTTATTCCAGTAACGGTTTAAACAGCTCTTGAGTTACTTCTATGTTTAAAATGAGTTCCTTGTGTATGCTCACCGGGTCAGATAAATCGTCTGAACTGAAATCTAACTTAACAAACCCGAACATGGTACTAAACCGTCGCGAAAACTCTTCGCACACGTCGTTGTAATGTACTATTCTCCTCGGCCTACTCCTGTCGTCGGAAATTACTGTGTTGAGGGCAGCAACTAATCGACGTATCGGCTCGAGCTCAATGTGGAATCGATCAAACTTGACCCTGACGTAGTGATCTATCAAATTGAAAAAATTACGACTTGCGGTTTCCATCAGGTCAAAACAATTTTGTTCTATCAATTTCATCGAAAGCTCGCAGAACCTAGATACTGTGGTAAAAGCAGCACTTTCGTAAGCGTTGATGATCCGCGCTACTCCTTCTTCGTATTTTCCGTTTTTTTTGCAAAGTTCTACAACGGTGTTTAACGATTGACCGGCGGCAATGGCGACGGTATAATTGCTTAATCTATACGCTGTATAGTTATGTCCCTCGATTATGATATTAGAGCCTTCAATATTATAATCGGGGTGAATCGGTTCAATACCGAATTCTGAAACGTCTGGCGCTAAAATTGACTCGTCGGCAACACAAAACATATGTATGTTGCTATAACAGGTACCGGTTCTCAACGTCAATTTCATTATGGCTCTTTCCATCTTTTGGCAATTTATTAAAAGTTCTTCATCATACTGTCCGCGTACGTCTTGAAAACATTTAAACAAAAATACAACCGTGCACACTTTTAACAAATACATATTTCCACTGGTCCGAATGGAAAAGTTTTAAGCGCTCAAACTGGCTGTGATTGTCGAATTTGCTAGAACTTGCTCCGTCAGATTCCGAGTTAAATTAATGTACGGCCACAAATATTTGATCGGTTTTAATGTATAGCAAAAGTTTAATTTAAAAAATGTCTAATGTTTGTACGCGTTCAAATAAAATAGTAATTTAATCTCAACCGTAAAACCAATAAACAAATAACGGATCTATGTTATTTAGCGTCATGGACTTGTTGTAGTTTTTTTAAATTTAGTTGTCGAAAAATTGTAATGATGTTGGTTGGTGAAGTAATTCATTTGATAATTATTTCTACGTATTAGAAATTAATTATTCTTGGGAATTGGGAAAGCTTATGGTATAAAATGTGGTATTACACATTTATATTGACATGAACGTTATTAAAAATTTAATTTATTTTCAAGCGCAAAATCTGTACTGTTATCGGATAAAATATGTTACTAAATTATGCGACAACGGCGTTTTGTTATTTGGAATTTTAGCTGTCGAAATATTGTAATGACTTTTGTGTATAAATGATTAGATTTGATGATTATTTTCTACGCGTTATACATTTTTTGCCTCGGAGAAAAAAACAATGGGTCATGTGATTTGTGTAAAAATTGAAGGTACCTACCAAAAACATGTTCAAGACCCATGTATTTTCTACGAAAGAAGCAATGTATGAGTACTGTTATTTAAACAATAAATACACCAACAACTTTTCGTCGACAAACTTTAAAAGTATTTATGTTTAGAATTAAAGCCTTGCTACATGATACCGAAAACTATAATTGTATTAAAAAGTGTATTTAGAAATATAACATTTGTTGGTACATTAAATAGTACCGTTAATTACATTTATAGTGAATTTTATAATGATACTACAATTACTTATTGTTAGTGAACGTGTGACCAATGCCATTTTCTTGATTATCATTCTACTTCTAGCAATTATTAATTAAGAATTTAAGAACCAAAAAATATCATTAAAACATAGTAGTATGTAACATAATGAAGTTAAATAAGTCATTTTAACAGTACATGTCCTACATTGTTTAAGTGGCTTTAACTTTTGATGATAAAAAAAAGTTGTATTTTTTTGATTTTCAATATTTTTGTTTACGGCTTTATTTTGAACAACCAAATTCTCGTTGACGATGATAATCAGTTCTAATTTTGTTTACTCTGGTAATATACCATTCTATAAACTCTGTCAGTAAAATTAAGATGTGATTCTTAAGCAAACATTTCAATTCGTTGTGTGTAGTCGCCGACTTCTTAATCGTTAATGTGCCAAATATATTACCAAAGTTCGCGTCGTCTTAAGTTTACAAGTGACAGTTAACCGGACTTGGAAAGTTTTAGGTACAAAAGTTGTATTGCTCTAGCTTTTCGCTTCCAGGCTTTTGCGGTAATCTACACAGATTTTGTAACCGTATCTTAACGATTATGTTGGCCATTTAAAAACTTTAAACGTTTTATTCTTTATTATGAAACGCGCCAAACAACAAGTAAACGGTGCACGATTAGCTTTTCTTGTAATAAAACGTGCGCATGTTTTGTTAATTGAAAACCATTACATTTATGTTACTTGTGTCTCTTTCACTCCTTCATCCTCAAAAGCGGAAAATTTTGACCGATTTTTCAACACGTATAAAAACACCCTTTAAATCGTGTAAAAAAAAAAAGACTCAAATCAGAAATTGACAAAGTTATGTCATTGTTTTGTATGTACTTTGATAGAGCGTTACCTGAACATCATTAAATCTGAAAGTGATTTCATCACAATAAAACGCTTCGATACAAATCTCCAAATAGTACAAATCTAGCACAGTCTAGACCAAACTCAGTATTAACCAGCATAGTAAAAAAATAGCCAAAGTAACGTCCAGTATCTACATATTAGTACGGAAACATTTTCTTGAATGCTATTTTATATTTTATCTTTGTAACTTAATTATGAGTACATGAAACTACTAAAATTGAGTAAAGGGTTATAAAGAAGGTCTGTAGTATGGCTATATTAAATAAGTTTAAAATCAAATCCCCGCTAACCTTTTTTACCACACAACTTGTTTCACTGGGAAATCATAAAACTTTAGTAAAGTAGTATAGTATATCTTACATTGTAAGAAGCTACCACACTACAATGAAGTTAGTCAGTAGACGCAATGTTTCTATCAAATAAAATTCTAGAAATCGCTTCGATGCGAATCTGTGGTCTACTCCCAGTAAAAATAGATTTCGAAATATTTCATCACCGGCAAATTATTACCAATACGTTATCGCCTTCTTAGCATTTTGTTACAATCTTTATAGTTAAAAATACGACATTTTATCGCCAAACTACTAAAGTTAATTTCAAAAATAATATAATATCATAGTTGCTGAATATTATAGTAGTATAATACAGAGACCATATGATATTGAAACCATATAAAATAAGTGTGCCTGTTGAAATTATCAATATCTTCGCAGGCCGCAGCTGTCCAAACAAACAACGAAACAAAAAAACAAATCGTTACAACATGGTAAAACTTATATACTACCAAAAAATACTATCTATGCAAGCTACATGGAAAAATATACTTTAAAATGTATAACACGGTTTATTCTAAAGGAATATTATGGCCTGAATATGTATGGCTTATTTGTCTATTTGGGCAGGCTAATCAACATTTTATATTACAGAAACTTTATTACATTACACACTATAGTCTGTATAATATGTATAATTAACTTGTGAATACACATTATTAATATGTATTTTTTATTTGTTAACAAGTTAAAATAAATAATAGGATAACAACAATAGAATGTTGATGTATTTTCTCGGCACAGCGATATTAGTAATTTTCAATTTACACAGTCAAATAAAGTTCCTAAGCCTCACTCGTTGAGTTTCTAAGTACTGAATAATTAATATGCCGATAAGATAAAACTAACAATGAAAAGTACCGATTAATTAAGCCATAACTGAATCACTAGTCAAAAAAAAATATATATTTTTTTTATGTTTTACAAATTTTGCAAAAACTGTATAGTTGCTGCGTGAAAACTGCCACTATTTGATTTTATGTCCACATCAACTATTGTAATATGCGCTGTTGTAGTTTTTTATATTTAACTTAACAATATACCTTTGTAGTAGTCTTATTTTTCTCTACGTTTTTAAAAATGTGTTTTAAACCTAATTGTTTTTTATAATTATTATTTAAACTACACGGATAACTCTTTAATTTAAATCTCAGAAACAATTAGATATCGTCTACACAAAAAAAAACCAATTATATATTTTTTTATTTTTTGTTTTCGGATTTCGTTTGGATTTGTTGTTGTTGAATGTTTCGCGGGTCGGCCAGATCACACTAAAGTAATAAATATTCTTTTTAGTTGAAACTGCACCAGGAAGCCAGCCGTCGAGTCACGATTTCACGTTGAACAAAATAAAACTCTGATAGTAATTACTGATCGAACAAATTAAACCGTCCCGTCCAAACAGGCGCCGCGCCCG